AAAATCATCCTTTAAATAAGGATATTTAAAGGATAAATAAAAATAATAAATGATTTTTTTTCATCAATCCTTTAAATAATTATCCATCAATCCTTTAAATAAGGCCCACTAGCGGCCGAGCGGTAAAGTCGCTGAACACTGGTAGTTCGGTCTGAGGTTCGAATCCCGCGGACGGGCTGGCTGCATGGGTGTTTTCGTGGTTTTTCCCATGTGTAACGTGTATACGAGCCAGTTTCCCTTAGAAAGTCATCCACGAAGGCATCCCTCCCCTTAGGCAGATAACCCTAGTGTGCTTTGCCGTAATTAAATGCACCACAATCCTTTAAATAATTTTAACAAAGTGTGAATTATCGTTTGGCATTATTATCGCTCAAAAAAAACCTGATGCCGAATTTTAAAACTGTCCAATATGTAAATTCATGCATATCTTAGAAAATTTTGAATAAAAAAAAATCTCTAATTTTTGCAGGTATGCCTAAAAATACATCTATTTTAGAATGATTTTAAAAGTTTTGTAGGTAAATTTTGTACATACATTTTTTTTTAATTTATAAAAAATATTTAAAATTACTAATTTTAATGTTAAATAATTAAAAATATGCGAATTATATTTAGATTAAGCCTAAATTTCAAATTCTGGAAGAATGACTAAAGTAAGTTTACTAAAAAAAGAGATATTAATAAATATATATATCAGATTAAATTAACATTGAGGATCTAACATTTTGAGAGCTAATTTTTTAAAAACTACTCGTGTGATTTTTAGAAAACGTGGTAGTTTGGCGTAATTTGAGTCGTAGAATCCAGATATGGAAAAAAATTGGCATATCATTTCAGAAAAAGTCCACTTTTGTGTCGAAATACCTATATTAGAACACCGCTATATATAAATCTAATACATATTCGAAGTCGCGCTTTCGAGACATGGAAAACGCAATTTGAATTTCGTCAATTGGTCCAGTTGAACGGGAGATACATAGATGTCTCCCCATCTTTTTTTTTTTTTTTTTTTTTTTTTTTTTTGCAGTGCACAACGTAGAGTCTACATTTATAAATAATTTTGACGAATAGAGGAGATACAATAATCAGCTTTTACTAAAGTATTGGTATGTCTTAATTTATAAAATACAAAATCCCCAAATTTATTAGCAAGAACTAAATCAAGATATAAAAATAGAATGTGTAAATTGTCTTTCTTTCTCATTTATTTAATTTATTTATTGTCTGAAAAGTTAAAATTACACTGAATTAGAAGGTAGACTATGATTCCAATAAACTAATTTTGCGAAGACTATCTTTCCTACAAAGCTGACTAACTAAGCAAATGAGTTTATTACTTTTCGCGGAAACGTACTCCTCCTGTATTAACAAACTTCTCTCATATTGTTTTAATTCAGAATTTTTAAAATTATTTCTTGATATACATGGTGCGTCAACTTTTTGATAATTGCATAATAACATATATAAGCATAATATCATTCTAACAAATAATACCTTATTTCCCTGTTTGGGGAAAAAATAAACATTTCTCAAAAAATAAGTCATCGGAACACCTTAAAATAATTAAGTCATTTGCTAAATTATGATGGAAAGACAGAATTTACAGTCTCAAACCCTAATCCTTCACAATTTAGGTTGAAAAGATGGGAACACGCCCAAAGAAAAGTTGAAAGTTGTTTTATGCGGCCTTTTTTTTTTTATGAGAATGGCGCTTAAAAACCACTTTTGTAAAGCTGTCTAGGGTAATTCATTTCCAGAATTTATATTTTTGTCATGATGCATATTGACGGCTTAATAACAGAACTTACAAAATACTTACAGACTTAATAAAGTGGTAGTTACATAAAGGTTATGTAGTTATTAACATACCTGACAACCTAGGTTTTAGGTTTCATGATTAAATTTTTTCTCTTATCTATACCAGGTTATAAACGCTTAAAGAAAGAAATACAGAAAACTTGATAAACGAATTTAAATTCAGTACGACGCGTATTTTGCAGAAAAACAAAATATTTAAAGTTTTCTTCCCTGCAGCTGCAGTTGATCTGCAATAAACTTTCATTGGCGTTGTCTGAATAACGAGAAAGAAGTACTGGTTTTATAAAAAAAAAATATACGCTAGCACAACACGCAATTCAATGAAATTAAATTCCTTAAGCTTAGAGAACTAACTGCCTTAGTTGAATTTCAGGAAATTTCTTCTGTCTGTCCATGGCGAAAATCATTAGTTTCATAATTATCTACCTGTGATTAGCATTGGAGACTTCAGTTTATTGTCAATGTAATAGTTTATTAGCCCAATGTTGGATGAGAAGGAAATTTACATACAAAACATTCATAAATATGTTCATTCATTTGTAAATATTCGTGAAAGTATGTTGTGGTCGGTTTCTCCAACAAATCTACTAAACTGAGTAACGGTTAATGTCAGAAGAAATGGGAATGTGACAGGACAGTAACTTGCGCAAAACCGCGTTATCCGCAATATTCCTCTGCGAAGACAGAAAAAATACCTTCCATCGTAAACTTTCCTCCGTATAATTACATCCTATAATTTTTACTACTTCTTACATACTGGGATTTGGAAATAAAATGCCTGTAACGTGTTATCTAGAACTGCGTTTTCAGTAGCTCACTTCAAAGGAGAAGATTGTTTTCGTCTTAAAACCATCGTCCGCTATCAAATACATCACTTAGTTTCTGTATTCTTTTATTATGACAATGTTTATCTATCTACAGGCAGAAAAACTTGGGTTTTCAAATTTGATTGATCTTGATCTTGATTTGAATCCAATCCTACCTAACACTTTTAAATCTCTTTTATCATAATTTTTCAATTCTCGTCATTATTTCTACTAACAGATGACACTACCCTCTTGTCTCTCTAGACTTCCTTAGAGTATAAATATGTCCGTAGTTTGGCTTTCCAGTTGCAGATATCTTTGCTCCTGATGAAGAGGGACGAAGTTCGTCCTCCAAATCGATAGAAATTCTGTGCTAAAAATCTACGTCTAACACAGGTTGTTGCTTTACTTTTATGAAGCTATTGGTTGTTGTTATTTAAAATTCTGATGTAATTTTTTTTCTTGTACTGTACACTTGTATAATTCTCTTTGGCACAATGTAGACATTTAGCTGTTAGATTAAGGTCAAATTGATTAATAGGCAATGTAAATTTAAAATTACAGGGTGCTTTTATGCAACCACTCTTATTTATACTACACTTGGGAAGAGGGGGCAGAGACATGAACATGCCCATGCTGTTAATCTATTCACCCAGGAATACAGATTATAATGAAGGTACCAGTGTCCGACCATTAATTGATTCGCTTTCAATAATTGATGAATATTTTTTTTTAATTTTGTTCTTCTGGATGTATTTACATCTGCGGTAATCGAATCGAAACGTCAGTCTAGTATTGCAGCTAGACAAGCTTCCAAGCAAATTGCGATATCAGTTATGCGAGCAAATGTTTCTCTGGAGCAAGAATTATAATTTTCAGTTTCATCAAGTTAAAAATATTTTAGCGTAACTTGTTTTAATGATAACTAAGTGATTTTTAGCAATCTTGTTGATTCCTAAAAAAAAGAGAGTATATTTGATCACACTCGAATTCTAGAATATGTCAGATTGACTCTATATTTTTTTTAACTTTAAATTCTACATTAACGCGTTTCTCATCCAGAATTATTTTTTAACCTGTATGTAGCTTTAGTAAAAGCGAATTACTAAAAGCCCTGCTCATTTTTTATAGCTATCGTAGACAACAAGTTAACAATAAAACAAGTTTCCTTTTACTTTGAAAGGGAAAAGTACTAGTTCATATACGGTTGAATGGCACTGACTATTGAACGATTGCAATTCATCCGCGGCTCGATTTCTAAAAATTATAAAATACGGCTGACTATGTTACTTCTTCGCACTTTTCCTATGTATAAGAAAACAGGTTTTATCTTCCTTTAAAATAATCCCACAGAAGCTTCCCTTTTAAGGCAAATAATGCATACAAATTTCGCCACATTAACTTAAAGAAATCTCAAATCAAAATTACTTCAAAGATATTATCAACAAATTATAAATAAAAAAAGCTCTGCATCTTTATTTTTTACAAAAGTCAGGCATAAAATAATTGAAACATGCCATAACCTTGAAGATAAGCTAAAATGCAGCAAAACGTTAAAGTCTGTCTTCAAGAGAAAATAAGAGATATAGTAACTTTAGAAATTAAAGATTAGCATTTTATTTTAAAAAAAAGTAACGTACGTCTTACTTCTATAAAGAAAAAAGAAAGATATGCTTAAAGTTTTTAATAAGAGTTATCAGAAAGAAATGCTTTTATTATTTATCAGAAATAAAAATTTTGGCATGTTATAAATTTGTATACAGTCAGTAACATACACGGTTGGCTTATTTTTCTTGAAAGAAGAATAGTTTAAAATTAATTAAGTGCAAACTTAAATTTCTGTCTTGAAATGAGAGATAAAAAGAACTGAAGTACTCTGAAAATGACAAGAAGGGTTCTCACCCAAAAAAAATAAGGGGCAGGAAAACAATAACGCATGCTAAATAGGCTTTCAAAATCTTCACCTCTGGAAGGAAAAAAAAAAGCGTGTGTAGTTTATGTAACCCCTGAATACACGGAAAAAATAACGTTGTGTGTGACGCGAAGCCTTTTATCTTTTTCTCTCTCAAAATTTATAGTTTCATCTTAGAAACCTCCCATGGCATTCTACCTCGACCCTGCCTTTTTTGACCATCCTACGCTATTAAGTTCCAAACGTGAAAAAACAATGGACTCAACCAGGGTAGTTATCTCAATTAAGGCATAAGCGGGCTTACGGTGGGAGGGCTGGAAGAAAAAAGGGTCTTTCTTTTTTCGGCGTGAGTTTTCCTAGAATAAAAAGACAGTAATAATAAAGTTGCACGTGACAGTTTTGGGGCACCTGGTGAGTTTAAGATGGTTGGATAATCATTAGGTGAAGAGGTTTTGCTGTATAGCGGCTGTTGGGAAAATAAATGAGAGGGAAGGCATAATATTCAAATGGCTACTTCCCATCATTTATTTTTATAGGTCTGTACTTTTCAGTTTTTAGGATTATTCATTTATTTTGGTCTGTTCTCCCTCTTATTATTTAGTTCCAGTAATTTTTCCATAGAACTGAAATCTGATTAACAAATACGTCATTTAAAACATTATTTTTTGCTTGATTATATTTGATTGATTAGCTTATAGCAGATATGGAAATGGAAATAAACAAGTAAATAAATGGTCCGTAGCATTAGAAAAATCCACTAATTATAGTGAATAAGCTTCGAAAGAAAATCACGCACTAAATGACGCTCGTGCAAAAAAAAAAAAAAAAACAATGAATCATATACTGCACATCAGCGTTGGTTTGCATATCAAGTATTTCTCGTTATTTCGGCCCAAATCATCCAAAACGTTTCATCAGTTGCACAATTAGATTACCTTAATGCTTGCTTTTCATAGACATAATATTTTTATAATTTCGATCAATCGATTAAATTCTATGTTATACATATTTGCCATTAATGTTTTGCAGTATTCTGTTTACAAACAGTTAAATTCTCTATTTGTTTCCGTGTTCTGTTTGTATTACTATTTATCATGATAATTATAGCAACGTATGTTCAGTTTTAGTTTCTCCTCCTTATGAAAACTTCCTCAAACTATATGCTTTCTCAATTTCTTTCTCTATAAGATTTGTTCATTCATTTCTTAATATTCGAAGGAGAAATGTGTTTAAAACCAACGTCCGTTTTTGCCGATATTCCTTTGCTAGCATTAAATAATGACGTATTGCTGCGCGTTAACTTTAATGATGTTTCAATAAAATGTTATCTTTTCCACTGTCTTCTCAAGCTAGTCGAGTTCTACGAAACTAAATACACCAGTTTTACTTCGTTCTTCCAACCGTTTACAACATATTAGTAATTTTCAATGAATTGTTGAATATCGTTTTTTCCACGCCATAAATTTACTAACTGAAAGATTTTAAAATAAAAAAGAGTATTAATTCGCACCTTCTCCCTCATTTTTATGTGTACGATATCGAGCTAACCAAAACAGTTTCAACGTATAACTTTAAATTCACAATTTCGAAAACCATTTTTACCCCACAGCCGCCATCTTTTATATCACAGCTCGAAATGATCTGGTTATTGTACATTAATAATATACTCTTTTTCTAGGTTATTTTAACACATATTTCTGCATTTCTTTTTTATTTCCTTATTTTTGCATTAAAATATTTAATAGTTTCAGAGTTATAGGATACGAATAACGTTGTAGAGACATTTGGTTACTAGGAAAAACGGGAGAGATGAAAAATGAGCACCCACCTGCGCCGGAAATCGAACCACTGACCTCTGGAATTCCGCCCAGCGTGCAGAACCACTACACCACGAAGACACGCTAGGAAGCCGGGAGTTTTTTACGTTACATTAGAGGAATAAACGTTACACCATTTATTCCATTTATATGCTTAAGTAAGGAATGTTCTGTTCCAAATTATTCCCACAGTGGAGAAAGGTAGATATTGTCGAAAATGTGATGAATGGCATCAAGCCTCAAAGCTCAAGGAAAAACTAAATGATAAATCCAAACCAGCCTTGTATCATGATGCTCTCATCTTCGTCCCAAAACACAATCCTGAAACGACCCTTCATCAGTCGCCTGACAGCTCCAAGCTTGATCGCTGGAATACAGGATCATGCACCCGTGATACAACATTTTTACATGTCCTGTATCCTTTATTCGGAAAAAATTCTGAGCAATACTTCGGTCGTCAAAACTCAGTTCCTTGCAGGTACTATCTCTGATTTAATTTCTCGCGCTAAGACAGAAATCCCCTGAAAAAAATTGCAAAGAGTATTTGACAAAATATTTCGGTGGCCTGGTCATGTTTAGTTTAAATGATTCGAAGATAATTTTAACTGATGATAGCGTTATTCTTATTAAACTCGAGTAAAAATTTCTGACTAATAACAGAAATTTTGAGCTTTAACTACAGTACCTTAGTTAAAGGGAGTCATCTGTTTCCATCACTCATTTTGATGGGTAAACACTTACATAATTTTAATGCAATTGTATCTTCAACTTTGTGATATTACAACTGTATATTAAGTATTGTATATCAAGTCTTTTCCTGTGTTTTCTCTCTCTCTATATATATATTACGTCATTTCTAAATCAGTCCATCTTGCATGGTTTGCATAATGCTGATAAAGTAGCTAATTCGAACCTGAACTAAAAATTTCGAGAACTGAAATCTTTCTAATCTAAACTTAAACCTAGTGAGCATTGTATCTTAGTATACTAGTGAGCATTGTATCTTAGTATTGTAAACGCAACGTATTAACTTTATTTAAAATGTATTTTCCCGATTGGCAACAACAGTTCTTTTACTTCCTTGTACGAAGTAAAAAGGAAGTATTGTAATCGCGAAAAGTTTCAGGCAGCATATTTCAACGAAAATATCCATTTTAACCGCTATCGAATGCAATTTAATGATGTTTTTGCGTGATATCTGTACGTAAGGACAGAATAAAAGACTCGTTTCCTCCAAAAAAATTATAAAACTGCTTTAAAATTAATTCTGATGAGAATTTTTCTTGGCGTCTGTACGAACGTACTATGTACGTACGTGCGTACGTACGTATCTCGCATAACTCGAAAACAAGTAGCCTCAGAACGTTGAAATTTTGTATATAGGACTGATATAACATGTAGATGTGCACCTCGTATTTTGGTTGCAATCGGCCGCACCAAACGTATATAAATACTATATTTACATATATATCCCTCTGTTACTCGGCACAGTGATCTCACTTTCTTTACTCTTATATGTTTGTAAATTGTACATTTTTTGCTTTAAAAATGATTGAATTATGTTGTTCTTATCTTCCGGTTAAGGTTTTTATGGCTTTCGTAATTCTGGAAGCAATATTTGTACAATTATCAACAATTTAAAAGCTGTTAAGTTTTAAATAACATGGCGGACAAATTTGTTTACATTTGAAACTGCAGAATTGTAGATTTGTTGCCAATCTGGAGAGACTAAGCTTCGCAACAACAAAAATAACGCCTTCATTTATTATTGCGAATTAAATCATGCTTAATCCTTTCTGGGATTTTTTCGAGGAAATAAGTGTTTAAGATTTACTTCGTAATTTTTAATACAGATATTTTGAGTTTTTATGTATTTTTACCTTGTCGCGAAGTGAAAACTGAATTAATTGAATGAGAAATACTAAATCGTCTGTGAAAAACTGTTTCTTTTCTGTTTTGTTTGCTTAATTTCTTTCATACATCGTTCTAGCTTTATTATAGTGTTTGAATAGAACATGTGGCAACGATAAGATAATTCTTCAAATGATATAAATTTTGTGTATTCAGAGTGTCGTTATAGTAAACAAATATAGTGAATTTTCAAGAGTGCATTTATTCTATTGTGGTTTGCATGTCGACGAAGTAGATTTATTATCAATCAATTTAAATGAAATTCAAGAAAAAGCGTATAATTAATATTCTGTAGAAAGTCATGTGGTGTACACAGATTTTTAGAACGGTATAATTTGAACTGTAATGTTTTTTGAGCAGTAATGTTGACGGTAATGTTTCTGAATAAAGCAAGTATTTAACAATTAATGTTTGACGGAATGTGTTTTTAATAAAGGAACTAATTAATTGCTAACATTTCAGAAGTGGGAAACTAGAATTATTATCTAGATTTAACAACGTATTGCCTTAACGTACGTTTAAGCCTAAACTGAATGCGGAAGCTCGCCAAAACTGAAAGTAGAAAGGTACGTGAATTTATAAACTGTTTATGCTATATCTAAGTATTAAACGGAAAGAACTTAAGTCTAATTATTGTATTATTATTATTTGAAAATTGAAGTCAGATGGCTTATTTGGCAAGAGGCAAGAAATGTGACTTAAAAGAACTTGCTTTGGAACTTGATGTAGATGTCCCTTCTGATATTAAAATTGTAGGCTTAAGAGATATGATTTTGAATAGTAAGAATTATAACGAAGACTTTACTAAACAAATGCTAGATAGAATTATAAATGATCGTTTAGACAGGGAAAAGTTAGAAATTTTAGAAAAAGATAAGCAAAGAGCATTTGAAATGGAAATTATAGAAAGAGATAAGCAAAGAACATTTGAACTTGAAAAATTGAAAATAGAAGCGGAAATCAGAAGTAGTAATGTAAATGATTCTGTTCCTTCTAATGTTAGTAGAAGTAATATTTGTGATATGAGTAAATTAATGCATAAGTATGATTTGAATGAAGGTGATATAAGTTTTTATTTAGTTTTATTTGAGAGACAGGCACGACGTATTGGGTTAGAAGAACAAAACTGGGTTTCTCAGCTGTTGGGTCTATTGCCTTATGAAATAACTCAATTAATTGCCCGTGAATCAGAAGAGAAAGCTAACGACTATAAGCACGTTAAACAACTGCTACTGAGAAAATTTAAGTTAAGCCCTGAACAGTTTCGGCAAAAGTTCGTTGATCATATTAAAACGTTGCGTAATACGTGGAAGGACTTCACGTTTGAATTAAAAAAATTATTTTGAAGAGTGGCTTGCTGGATTAAATGTAACAGATTTTGACTCTTTAAAACAGCTTATTATTACTGATCAATTAAAAAAAGGGTCCCCGCTGCTATCCGAGACCATTTCATTGATGATTGGTCTAAATTCATTAATCCTGAAGAGTTGGCTGAAAAACTAGATGAATATGAAAATATTCGGGCAGGGATAAAAGTACTTCAAGTAGAAAATAAAACTTTTAGGCATAATTCTAAGCCCAAATCTGGTTCTAAATTTTATGAAGGATCCTATAATCAGTATTCAAGACAAAGAAATGTTAACGATTCCATGCAGACAGATGGTAATTTCAAAGTGGGTTTTAAAAACAGTTTTGATAATAAATACAATCTGAGAGATAAATTTTATAAAACAGACGAAAGGAAAAGGGAATATAATTCTGGCATCCGCAATGAAAAGGGTGAGCCGAAATGCTTCAATTGTAATGAT